GCGCCTCACTCCACAGTATATACCTTTATCTCCATGCACACTTGGCCGCCTCCGCGGCCGTAGTCCAGTAGTAGAGCGTCCGCCAGGAGTGCAGAAGGTCGGAGGTTCGATCCCCGGCCGCGTCATACCAAAAGACGCTGAAAGATGTTTCTTGTTTTTATCTTGCCTGGCGCTTGGCTGTTAGGGGCCGAACCAAGGACTGGTTGGCTCGGAGTCAGTATACTGTGTCTGAGTCGGGTATTCATATTTTATCTGCGACATGGTATCTAAATGGGATAGCACTAAAAAATGGCATTAGTCCGGACTAGAGCACGCACGCACGAACGCACGCACGCACGCACGCACGCACGCACACACACACACACACACGCTATATAAGTGCAATAATCTTGGACGCGACGGTAAACCTCATTTCACTTAACCTCACCAACATGCACCCTTCTCTGAGAACCGCATATGTTGTGTAGTCGCACAGGCGGGATTTCTTATTAATATGAAAAGGGATTTGTTGGTTTTCTTCATATACGGATAGCGGAAGGTAGGTGGTTCGATCCCCTTACCGCGTCTGCCAAAATACGTAAATGTATGTATGGTCCTTGTTGTTACCATGCCTGGTGTTCGGCTTCAGGTGAATAAGACAAAGACATGTCAGCTCGGAGTTAAACTGAGGCATGGCATATCAGTGGTCAAACTGTACACGCAGCCAAACACACACGCGTGCATATACGTCGCTAGATGATGAGTGAAATAGTCTTGAAGGCGACGTGAAACACGTGTTTACTTACATCACCTTTCTAGGAATACCTACATGAAATGTCTGTATTAGTTAACTTACATCTACCTGTATCCATGCACGAATAACACTATCGTTTCAGGTTCCTTGTCCTCTTCCGATGGATATATGACAACGACAAATCTTTGTTATTAAATACATTTAAGTTTGGGAAGTTTGTCTTCTGGATGATTCGACGACAAGTTAAAAAGCAGACATGGAGTCAAGGTTTGGGCCGACACACAGAAGGGGAGATAACTGAGATGTTTAAGAAGGATCTACAATCTCTGTCCGACTTCATAGGTATGCAGAAATTACACTCTATACATTTTATAGATTTCAGTTAAATAGTTTAAGGTGTCTTTGTATGTTCCGATGGGTTTATGATAATGATAAATTGTTGCTAATCAATTGTGTGCTTAGCGCCGCCTGGAGGCAGGTAACAGGTCGACACAATCAGGAGGAGGTAACTGCCTTCATGAACAGACAGAGCCAGGCTATATGGGGGTTCATTGGTATGTAAACTGATACAAAGTAGAAACAATGAATGGGACAATTCTCAGGACCGCCACCGTGGTCTGGAAGAAGTGCGTGCTCCCGTAGCGCGTAACAGCGGGGGTGTTCGATCGACAATCTCATTAGAATCAGATCTTAGTTCTCGCTGCCGCTAAACAAAGATCTGAGGACAACTCATAACGGGTCACGTCAGACCGAACTTTCGCTAACTCTGACCGACCAATGGAATTACTGACAAGAAGTCGACATTAGCCAATCAGAAGGCAGCCTTCTCGTGCTTTACGGCACTGATTTCAAACTGGCGACAACGCTTCGAAACATATTTTGACAAATTCTCGCTTAAAAATTTGAAACCTGAACAAAATAACATTCTCGAATGGCTAATATATGGTCTAGATTGTATAGATTCAGTCGTTAAGCCCGTAACTATCGTTCGGAATACCCCGTTTTAAAGTTTTTGAGGCTGCATGATGAGAAATCACATTCCGACTGTCACTTTCATGATCTGGTAAGCGACGCTCTGATTGGTCGGATGAAAGGTCATTCTGACGTGACCCCTAATGAGGTGTCCTCAGATCTTTGTTTAGCGGTAGCGAGAACTAAGATCTGATTTTAATGAGATTGTTCGATCGGCCGCGTCATACCAAAAGACGTTAAAAGATGGTTCTTGTTGTTACGCTGCCTGGCGCTCGGCATTAAGGGGCAAAAACAAGGACTACTTGGTAGTTGGCTCGTAGTCAGTTTCCTATGTCTGAGTGGGGTATTCATGTTAAACTGCGGTGTGGAATCTCAGTGTGATAGCACTTTAAAAACGGCATCAGTCCAGAGTAGTACAAGCAGCCACACATACACACACACGTGCATGCACGTCGCGATTTAAGTACAATAATCTTAAACGCGACGTTTAACCCCATTTCGCCTCAACACCCGATTAGGGGCGGTCGGGTATAGCCTAGTGGTTAAAGCGTTCGCTCGTCACGCCGAAGACCCGGGTTCGATTCCCGACATGGGTACAATGTGTGAAGCCCATTTCTGGTGTCCCCCGCCGTGATATTGCTGGAATATTGCTAAAAGCGGCGTAAAACCAAACTCACTCACTCACTCACTCAACACCCGATTGGCTACTGAGTCATTTTCGATTTCTCTCGTCAATCGTTCCTGGATTTTCACTGCATACTGTATACTCACCAGTAAATTGGTTTTGTGTACAGGCAAATGTTAAATGCCTTCTTCTCTTATCCGGAGCGTGTACATTAACCCTCATATAATGAGGGGCGGTAGGGTAGTTTAGTGGTTAAGCCATCATCCTCGTGATCAAACCTAAGGCCCTGGTTCGGTTCATTTCCTCAATACAATACGTAAAACCCATGCAACCCATGCCCCCAATTATACTGGAGTTAAGCGAATCAAATGATTTGACACTTCCTACATTTTGACACCGAGCTCGCTATAGGCACCACTTCATTTCTCCATATAATTAGTTTTCTGACGGGGGCACGGGTGGCCCAGTCGTCTAAGGCGCAGCAATTCGCTGTGCAGAGTTGCACCCTTGGGCACGCCAGAAACCTATGATTGTGGGTTCGAATCCCGGTTCTCCCCGATTATGTTTCTAGGTTTGTCAGCACCATACCCGACCCGACTTATAAACGTCAGTTTCGCGGCCATATGACCGGCCTCTCATCCGGTGGAAAAGCCGTATATGGTGTAAACTTCACATTAACCAAAATATGTTGCAATGACCGTCACGACACGCAAGACTTGTACTTTTTTCCTATTGTGTACCTGTAATGTGTTTTGCTTTGTTTTAATTTACTCAATGTACACATGCGGTTGTTTCAGGGAAGAAAAGGTTCCTGATGGGGGACGAGCCCTGTGAGACTGACTGCGCTGTGTTCGGTCAGCTGTCACAGGTCTACTGGCAGTTCCCGGGAACTGGGCACGAGGATATCATTAAGGGCAAGTACCTTTATATGCATCAACGATACTTCACGAGTTCCTTCATACCCTATGACGACATAAGGACGATTTGCGTTGTAGTGGCGTGTGTCTATATAATGGAGAAATCATGAGAATAGATTGATTCCGGGAGTTGGTTCCACTTATACCATGATATAGGTTAAACATATAGTTTCTCTATAAGTTTGTATGATTACCTAGTCAAACGAGCCCTGGTCCGTGCATGCACTTTGCGCGAACCCTACCATTGCCTGATGTGGCATCAATAGTAGAGAAGATGGGCGGCAAAGGCACTGTACATGTTACCCGAAAAATATTACTGTTTTTGTTATGTAATCTTTAGCGCTCATTGCACTGAGCTAATTTGGGGCGGTCGGGTAGCGTAGTGGTTAAAGCGTTCGCTGGTCACGCCGAAGACCCGGGTTCGATTCCCGACATGGGTACATTGTGTGAAGCCCATTTTCTGGTGTCCCCCGCCGTGATATTGCTGGAATATTGCTAAAAGCGGCGTAAAACCAAACTCACTCACTGAGCTAATTTACTCGCCTCTAAGCCAAGTCGTGTCTTGATTTGTTGGTTAAAATAAGCGCCTACTCTGAAAATCGACAGTAATACTATGTATTTATTGGTGATGGAGGAACGTATAGTGAAAACAGAACCTATGCAGTTCGTCAACGCTTCAGATGTAAATAGGTTTCCTACTATTATCTCATAACCATCTTGTTATAGATAGCATTATGTCAGTGCATGCGCTATAGTGTTCTCCTGCAATTAAGTTGCACCAGTCTCACACCATTGCAGGGTACTGATAACATAGTATGCATAACGTACTCCTACCTTTTTGTCATCACATCTGCATTTACATAAGTGTTGTCGTCAGAGTTGTTTAGATTATATCTTTTATATTGTAGCGTATCTAACATCTAATGAGTGCATAAAAGTGAAGTCCCTCAGAGTGTGGCAGCGATTCTCATATATTGTCTGCTGATAAAATACCCATGCATGTATAACAGACAAGATATATTTCTCTCCAGTACATTAATAATTTCATGTTGATTCAATTATATTGAAACACGGACTATATAAGTACATGCAATATACGTCCTTGTCTCCCGTGAATACATCTGTAACATGTGATACTATTATCAGTTCTCAATTGTATTCCTTGAACCCTTTTATTTGCAAAAATTAGTTCGAAATATAAATAATCCTATTTACATATGAATTCATGTCATCATATCTTGCTTAATAGTTGTTGATTGTGAACTTTCCCATTTTTTTCGCAGACAAATACCCCAACCTGGCCGCCTACTGTGAACGTATGAGGGAAACATTCTGGCCCGACTGGGACCAGTGCATCACACACGGTGGAACAAGGGAGGCAACCAAGTAGTAACTCTTCCAGAGAGCTTTAATGGTTGTGTTGGCATAATATGTATTGCGTCATAAAACATAGATATATGTACACATATATGTATATATCTACACAAAGTATATGAATCAGACGTGACTGCCAATAATGGTTGTCAACTCGTTTATCATTCATAAACTGGATTTGAACTTGCCTTTGCAATGTCTATGAAATCCATGTTGCTTCGTTTAAAATAAAATGTATTCTTTGTCATGTTATTCAAGTTTGTTAAAAGCCACAGTGAGCTGCGTGGGGAAACGTATGTGACCGAGAGCCGGCAAATACCGACAAAATAACAATGTTGCAATGTTCTTCGGCGAAACCAGAGGACTTCAAATTTCAGCAAACATTGATACGATATTATACGGCGAGACCAGTAAACTACAAAGTATCAAATTATATGAATTGAACGTCAGTTTGGATGGGTTCATTGAAGTGTGAACGATTTAAAAGCGCTGGTTAAACTGTGTGAACCTCCGAGCTTGCGAGTTCAAACTGACGTTCAATTCTTAAATAAATTGGAGACATAACGCATTGGATATGAGGTTGTGATGATAAATGTAATACGTGTAGGTGTTCTAAACTGCATCTCAGTTGAAGCAAGGGTGGCCCATTCGTTCATCGAGTTTTGTCTCTGTTTGTTTGTTTGGTTGTTGTCTAACGCCGCACTCAACAATATTCTAACTGTATGACGGCGGTCTGTAATTAATCGAGTCTGGACAAAACAATCCGGTGATTGACATCATATGCGTCGATCCAAGCTATTGGTATGAAATAACATGCATCAACCAAGTCAGCGAGCCTGACCACCCGATTCGATTGGCATAGTCGCCTCATACGCGCAAGCATGGGTTGGTGAAGACCTATTCTATCCCGGATCTTCACGGGTCTTGAAAGGTACCAGCGTCCTTATAATCATGGGGTTGAATCCCAGATTCGCCCTGATTATGATTCTTGGTTTGTCAGCACCCTACCCGTGACAGTGGATTTCTCAAGAGTGATAAACCTGCATTACTTTGTGATTTCCACCAACATTGAGCTGACACGCCGTCATATCACTTAAACACTGTCGCATCCGTGCCTTCATCACTGTAAGGGGCGGCCGGGTAGCCTAGTGTTTAAAGCGTGATATTGCTGGGATATTGCTAAAAGCGGCGTAAAACCAAACTCACTCACTCATTCATCACTGTATCTCCCTGGTCCACTTACAAAATTGCATGTTCCTCCATCGTGATCCTCACGGTCAAGGCCACGGCTCTGTCAAATGGCGTTAGATGATTGTTCAAATTTTGGTGAACTTGTTGTTCAGAAAGTCAATGCATAGTTCTGAGTCGGCCACAACTTCCCCGTTGTATTCGATCCAAGGCCATTTTCCTTTCGGAGATGGAGTCATTCCATGACTAACCTAGAATACAAGATATTGTAGTGACTGGCTGATTAAACTACAATGTTTGGTAGATCTTTGAGACTTGTGTGGTATCACATTTGAACAGATTTCACCCTCACATTGACAGTTATCAAACCTGTTTACTTAATACATACATACATACATACATACATACATACATACATACATACATACATACATACCTTCCTACCTACATACCTACCTACCTACCTACATACATACATACATACATACATACATACCTTCCTACCTACCTACAATGTACCTACCCACCCACCCACCCACATACATACATACATACACACATGTAAATACATACATACATACATACATACATACATACATACATACATACATACATACATACCTTCCTACCTACCTACCTACCTACATACATACATACATACACACATACATGTACATACATACATACATACGCACATACATGTACATACAAACATACATACATACACACACACACACACACACACACACACACACACACACACATACATAGTACATACATACATACTGCTGGAATAAAATAATTTGTCTTCAGGTTTTACAAAAAATAAAAAGTGGTTCACTGCACATCGTTGATGTTTTGAAAATTAATGTGTGGTGGGAAAACAATCGGATGGCTCCTCCTTTCAGAGAAAGAGTTGAGTGAAAATATATGTCTCAAACAAACATCCCTTCAACTGTAAATGATTTTTTTTCATCTTTAAAACTCTCCGTAAGTTTCGACAGTGTTTCGTCACAACACCGATATAATAAGTTTGACCGTCAAGCACTGGGCTCATGTCCAGATAAACGAGCACCTAGACGCTAAAAGCTAAAAGCGCTATAAAAGCGCTAAACTTGCTTCGAGAACCAACAGTGGAACTAGTTTACTCTTTTCATATACTCACTCACCCATGCGCAATCATCATTCGTCTCACATGTAAGCATCTTATGATATTCATTTAAGCTTGCCCTGCAGTGCGCCTTTGGAATTGCTCACCTGATAAGGTATTTTTGCCATCCTGAGGTACGTCTCAAGTACGATATACGGAGATAAGCTTGGGGCGTAGGGTCCCCTCCCTATCTGGTGGAGAATGACAGTGTCACGGGGGTAGGTCGTCTTTTTTCTGAAACAGCAATAAACATCGTATGATATCATGTACAATAGATATTTGGTCTTTAAATCAATAAATAAATTTCGAATATTCAATACAATGTGTGTGTGCGTGCGTGCGTGCGTGCGTGCGTGCGTGCGTGCGTGCGTATGTTTGCGTGCGTGCGTGCGCGCGCGTGTGTGTCTTAGGATGGGGAATGGGGGCATGTAAAAATGTTATTGTTTTTTCAGGGGGATATAAACATATTACATAAAATGGGGGTGGTGTCTGCGAAACATGATACAGACCGCCGGACAACCCCATCGGCCCTTCCGCCCCTATAATACATCACCAGTCGCAAATTGTGTCCCGTAGTCGCGTGAGGATCCGCTGATCGGGGATTCGAACTGATATTGATCTTTTGTTTGGCAGTGGCTCACACGCTGTGAGGTAACTGAAATGCTGTTCAAAGCGACGTCAAAAACAACCTGGTATCTGTGAAAGACCTTGTGCATCGGCTAAGACTATAGGTGAGGTGAAATGGGGTTTAACGTCGCGTCCAAGATTAGTGCACTTATATAGCGACGTGTGTGTGTGTGTGTGTGTGTGTGTGTGTGTGTGTGTGTGTGTGTGTGGCCTCTTGTACTAGACCGGACTGATGCCGATTTATAGTGCTAGCTCACTGAGATACCATGCCGCAGTTTAACATGAATACCCCACTCAGACACAGTATACTGACTCCGAGCCGACCAGTCCTTGTTTTAGCCCCTTAATGCCGGGCGCCAGACAGGGTAGCCACAAGTACCATCTTTTAACGCTCTCCGGGAGGACGGCTAAGACTATAATCCCCAGGAACCTGTGCTTGTGGGGGTCGATTTAGCTATATAAGTGCACATAAGTGCAACCTATTTTTGAAACATGCAACCTAATATTTATGTCTAAATTCAAGTACATGGAATGATGTAAAATAATAGATTTGTGTCTGACTCTTTGAACACACTCAGTACCTCTAACGTTTATTTGACATACTATACTAGCCACATAAAGAAACTGTGCACGGAGAAAATATAGATATGAGGGCACACCGTCCATATAAGAAATATAGGTTTGAACACAGCAATTATTGGAGACATTCAAACGCTCATGCACGTGCCATGCGATATGACGTCATTGATGGGGGCCTATGGACGTGCAATGTGTTACTGCACGTGCATCCTGTGCAGCTGTACACAGCATGTGCAACTCAAAATTCGCTGTCACTTTGGAAAGCATGATCTGTGGTTATTCAAAAATTCAAAAATTCTCAGGCGCAGACACAAGCATATCACAAGCAAATCATGCCAAGATTGACAGCTGCACAGCGTCATGAAGCCATTGGAATGATCCGAGCGGGCATGAGGCAACAACAGGTGGCAACACATTTCCAATGCCATCGTAACACGATATCGGCATTGGTGAGGCGTTATCAGAACACAAATGACGTTGCCGACCACCCACGTTCAGGTCGTCCCCGAGTAACGACGCCAAGACAGGACAGATGGATTCGAGTTACACATCTCCGACACAGGTTCCAAACGGCAGTAACGACGTCCCAGACAATTCCTGGACTGCGCCGTATCCATCCCAACACTGTCTGGAATCGTTTACGTCAGTACGGGATTCGACCACGACGCCCTGCCATACGTCCCATCCTGACACACCGTCATCGAGTCAACCGTCTAAGATGGTGTCGAAATCATGTTCGCCAACCTCGAATATGGTGGAGAAATGTTGTCTTTACAGATTAATCGAGGTTCAACATTTCCCACAGTGACGGGCGCCAACGTGTCTACCGGCGTTTGGGAGAACGTTATGCACGCAACTGTATTGTGGAGAGGAATCGTTTTGGAGATGGCTCTGTGATGATTTGGGGTGGGATAACAGCACGGCACCGAACCCCTTTGGTGGTTGTTCAGGGCAATATCACCGGTGTTGGCTACAGAGATCAGATCCTGAGGCCTGTGGTCATTCCTTTCCTGCAACGTCATGGCCCGTGATTGACATTTCAACAGGACAACGCTCGTCCTCACACGGCTAGGGTCGCAATGGATTTCCTTCACCATAACAATGTCATGTTACTGCCATGGCCTGCAAATTCTCCAGATCTCTCCCCAATAGAGCATGTGTGGGATGAAATGGAGCGCCGTCAGCGTCGTCTTCCACATCCCCCAGATAACGTCCGTGACTTGGCACAGGATTTGAGGAGGATATGGCAGGCCATTCCCCAGACCTTCCATGCCCATTTAGTGGACTCCATGCGTCGCCGATGCACAGCTGTAATTCACGCACAGGGTGGTCATACCCGTTATTGACTTTGTGACTTTGTCGTCTGACCCCCTACTCCATTTTGATCTTCTGACGTCATCGTAACAGATGTTGTTCAGGTCCCGTTGACATTTTCTTATGGTCCGATCATTCAGCTGCTACAGCGTCTGCATCATGTTGTTCTTGCTGTGTTGTATTTGAATCCAGAATATATTTTCTCCGTGCACAGTTTCTTTATGTGGCTAGTATACATAACTGATCCCTGTGCTAATTTGTCATGCTCAATGACATCTTAATGTAGGTACTTCAAGATTACGTTTTACAGAAATACGTCATTAATGTTTGTGACACTGACACCAGACCGGCCTGGGTTCAACTTTGCTACACTTATGGGACCAGGGTGCAACGTTTGTTTGGCGCAACTTGCTTTTCGTGTCAACATGCAACTGGTCCAAGTGAAATCAAATTCCTTAACTCTAGCCCTGGCTTGTAAGAGGTGACTAAATGGACCGATCGGTCAGGCTCCCTGATGCATGTCATCGCAACCCAAATGCGATGCTCATGATGTCAATCACTAGATTGTCTGGCCCAGACCCGATGGACTATTGCTGACTGTGGTGTTAAACATACAAGCTATGCATCGAACTCCGCGTTATTTATTTTAAACATTTTCTGGCACCCGTTAAATACTATTATTTCATTCGTTTCAATTGATATAATAATATATATATACCTAAATATTCATCCGACTTCGAGATAATCATAAGGAGCTTTCAGACCTTGATAATTATAACTCAGTTTTGAAAAGCACATGTCTTTCAAACAATATTATTCAAATACTGCCGTCACATGGCTTTAGTATTGCTGAAAGTGGCCTTAAACAACAAACAAATAAAACACACAAACAGGTATGTGGTGCTTACAACTCAAGGGTCATTTTCAGTAAACTTAGCATTTGAAAACACGACCAGCGAATACTGGTAGCTCTGGGACACAGTTCTGCGCAAGCTACTGTGCCACCATGAACGTGCGCCTTCTCCTCACGAACAGGTCGTCATTTGACGTGCGATATATGTGGAATGGCGAGCATGATCTCGATGTGACCTCGCTGTTGATTCGTAAAATTACGGACAGAACTATCGACACGTGTGGATCTTAAAATCATATTTAGTAAATATATGTTTGAACACAGCAATATGAATTCATTTTTCTCTATGCTGCTGTTTTTAACAGATTTCCTGGAATTCGTGTCTAACCAAACTGCACCGCCCACCGCCACTTAGTTGTTCCTTGCAACGTAGAAATATGTTGTTTACTTTTTTAACCCTCCCCTACGGGCTGACATATTTTTAGTGACTTTCCCCAGATTCCCCTGACCACACACTAATATATGACAAGTACAAGACTCTCAGCATAGTACACCAGGGCAGAGAGCATACAATATGGTCTCTGACCAGGGTCCTCGGATGATGTGCTGCAGTCGTACAAAGTATTTTATGGGCGTTTCGTCAGTTCAACGATAACCATAGCGTTGTTGTACTTCACAGGCAAACAACCTCGCTTCGCACTGGGTATTATTAACCGTTACAACAGGGTAGAGGTCGAGATCACAGAGCTAAGCAGCCACATCCCTACTGCCCACCCACCCGCCCCGCATGTTCATGAAGCATGACTGAGCACACTATAATGAATAGTGATATTAATGTCAACAGCGAATAGACTGAGTCTCTATATATAGCTGCTCATTATAAAGCTGTACATCCGTGTGCGAAATACGCATCAGTCGGAAAGCGCACGTTAAATCTCCAAAGTAAGTAAGTAAGTAAAAGCTGTACAAAAAGTCATACCTAGGCCATAGTTTCTTGACGATGACAACTGATACAGCAACAGCTGTAACGCCACCTGCGACACAAAACAGTCGGTGATGCAAATCGAAGCCGCTCAGGAATCCGTTCATGATCCACTGTTTTAACTTGGAGTTTGCAAGTCACTCTCTGATTCATTGGCGCCTCAAGCAAAGGGAGATATTTGGTCAGGCTGGTTACCTGGGTATGCTGCGCTGGCGCAACACTGACCCCCAAGCTCCTCACAGCGATAGTCCGTTCGCGGAGCTCTCTATACTATCGCGATGTTACCGAGAGTGTAACGAAGATGTCACGCGCTGGGAAGGACCCCATTCATGACCAACTCGTGTTATTCCGGAACAAGCCGAATAGCGAGGTTACGGAAAGAGGCGAGTTGTGACGAATGCACTGATCCAGGCAATGGCCGCCCCAACTAGACAAACAAACATGGCGGACACGACATGTATTTACTATAGAAACTCGCTAGAACGGGTAGTCAAAAAAATTTCTTTGCATTTTCATCAATGCTGTTGCAATGAGTATAACGTCCATTGTAACTTTTAGTGAAGGAAAACATTTAAGCTGTTTCGAGACTCGAAAGTGGTTGTAACAACTGTGAAATGTAAACAATGACACACATCCCATTTTCAACAGTGATATGAGGGTTAATATTCAAACCAAAACAAAAGTCGCATTAAGCATAGTGCTGTGTGTAATGGTTTGACCTACTTTCTAAGATACCCTTATTTCTCTCGACCACACACTACCCTATGTTGATTTTGTTGATCTGGTTACAACTGAATTATATATATCAGGGTTGTTTAAAATGATACCTGGCGACATTTGTTTAAAAAAAAGTTGTATTTTGGTCGTACTTTGATATATATCGAAGGTCCATTACTGCATGTTTGTTTGAACTGACCTTGAAAGGGATTTCAGCAAGCACCCGTAAAATGGTTTCCAGGTAGCTAGTTACACCGTAGTTATCTTTTCCTCTCGATATTGAGAGCTCTTTGAAAAAATCACTGCGATTGGTGTAAAATGCCCGCAGTATTTCAGTTTTGAATTAGACCACACAGTCCACATCCAGTTAATATACATTTAGACGAGCCTCGTTTGGGATCCAGCACATGCGGCAAAGACAGGCGAGCGGACGAGAGAAATATTATCTGCTTTCAAAACATTTGGTTAGTTCATTTTTATCACATTTCATTATATAAATTTACATAACATAGCAAGGTCCAACTGGATATATGCAAAGCTTTATTTACTGACTTTTGCGCAGAAATATAACAAGTGTAAATGTTGAGTCGAATGTGGGTTATACCATTGTGACAAGGCGTAGGTGACGAAGGTTTAGATAGGGGCGATAACTCTCATTTGTTTACATAATTGTATAAATCAAAGTTATGTGCTGGGCGAAAATAGGCCTCCTTGACAGTCTCTGTGGCCCGTGCTGGGCCTAAATCCAATACACAAATCGATATAGTCGTAATCGTGACTTGTCTATGGTAAACTAATGTTGTTCTCAAACACTTTTCTAACTCAAAACAACAAATATAGCCCCATTTCAATTTGCCATGTTAACAGTGGATAATCCGAACATCAGTAGTGTTAACATATATATTGATGGTTTTTAGTACATTAATTATACTTCAGGAAGTGTTAAAAATTTGTTGTGGAAAAGGGTAACAGAAATGATCTGTGTCTCTTACGGTGCATACTGAACAACTAAATGAACATGTGTCGATTTCCCGACACACAACGGCTTGTTGAAATCTGCCCACATTTAACAAAATACATATTTTGGACATTAACTTACTTGAGACAGATTTTAGGAACAAACATTTGATAATGTTGTAAAATAAGTTTGAAATCTTGAATTGCTATAATTTGCCTTTGAAGGAAGATTGTTTTTACTGCACAGTGTTTCAAGAAATCTTTGAATGTATCTGTATTATATAGCTTAGGTATGAATTGGCCACCCATTGTGTCTCTGTTCTATTGTGTTACATACTGCTCAATCATGCCACTTAACAACATGACTAGGAGATCAGGAATGACTGGCATATCAGATGTATTTAATGCAAGTGTATCAAAACTGACACTTTTTCAAGAATTTAAGAGATTAACACCGGTGAAAAAAAACATTTTCACCAGATATATGCAATGAAATAATAACTATTGTTTGCAGACAAAATAAGACTGACTGCAGTACTGTTGAGTATGGCAAAATGTCATCTACAATGGCTTCATATTTGAAAAAGCTTGTTTCAAAACATGATACAACCAGACGGAAGGGTGGGAAGCAGTATAAGACTCTGTTGGGGACATGGAAGAAGGAACAATATTCCTTCAAAGTATTTGTGTCTGAACACAACATAAAAACATTAAAATCAAAATTGTTAAAAAGCATGTCTTATCTTCACAAGTACAAATCTTCTGTTAGGAAGGCCAAATCCTTACTTTTACAAAATGTAAATCTAAGGAAAAAGGTTCAATTACTATCCACAAAATTGTTAAATGTACAACAAGGAAACTTACTTTCAAGTGTGTCCAATAGACGCTCATTGAAATTGCATTTTCCTAATGGGGAGGTGTCCAGGTCCCAACAGTATAAAAGGAAACATATGATTGTGAGAGACTGTAAACAATCTTTAGCATTTTTAGACAGATATGTGCTTGAACCTATTTCAGTACAAACTCTGGACAGTGAAGGAAGGCAAATCCAGATATCTATGAAGGAGAACATGGTCAAAGAAACCGTTCCTCCTGAGGTGGAATTGAACAAAGTTGTTTATGTGAAAGATTCAGAAGGTATTTCAAACAAGGCTTACCATGAACTATCAACGATAGTGCCTACCCTTCCAAGATCACACAAGGTTCTTAAAAAAATCAAGGAATGCAACGAAAATGTTTTACTTCATGACACACCATATCCAAGCTTTGGGGTTCAGCAATCTTTGAAAGAAAGACTTATTAGCTGTGTTTCACAAATTCTTGAAATGAAACATGACACCACAAACATTTTACAAACAAAACTTATTCGTGTGTAACTTACAGGTGATGGAACACAGTTTGGGAGAAGGAGAACTCTTATCAATTGGATATGGATTTTATTTATATGAAAAGCTATTTATTTGGCATTTGTTTTCTTATTACACAATGACATTAATCATAAATAGATGTAATAATTTTGGAAAAAAATAATTGATTACTTCCAGTCTAGTGATTTATTAACTATGTGTGAGCTGGTAAAAATGTCGGGTCTAAATAGCATAATGATAAAGAATATGTTCATGATTTTTAATTAATTTGGTACAGTGGCACACACATTCATGTGCATTTTATATGACGCTGCTACGGGTAAAACATTCCGATTTTAGTATATCAATACTGTTTTAACCCGATTTACCTCGCGATCCTTTACTTTAACAACCTTAAGGCTCACACAACGTTTTGTTCTCCTTTCCTGCACGATCGGCTCTGCCACATGGCCCTGCAGATGAACGAAAGTCAATCTTTCGTGAAGAACGTAATGGCGGAGATTAAAAATATGACCCACCCAGACAACACAAGTCGTCTCCCTCAGCACGATGAGATCTAGCGATGGACACTCAAGAAAGAGACCTCTCACAGAACAAGGTCTCAATGATTCACATAAAAAGGTGAGAAGAGATGACAAACTTCTCGATTTTATGCGTCGCATGTTTGACACTGTGAAATCCAAGATCTCGAGTTTGAATCAGTCTTTCGTCCATCGGATGGACAGCTTAGAAATGCGATTAGAAATATTGTCAGAGAAGATTGCTTCCTTAATCAGTAGCACGGTTGAGGTTGAAATGGACAATATTAGATCAGAATTTTAATCAAACTTAATAGTTACTGTAATACTGTTCAAAGCGGCGTTAAACCAAACTCACTTACCCTCTCTTTTGACATCACTGAAGAGAATGTCTTAAATAAAATCTTAAACGTATGTTCATCTTATCCCAGTGTGGTCGGGTAGACAGTGCTCCGAAATGTTGAGTGCAATTTAGTTGCCACGGGGTGGAATCCTTCAATTTTGTGTGGTTATTTATTTATTGTTGGATTGATGAGATAATTGTAAAATGTAAATGAACGGTTCTTGAAACACTCAGTCTCGTTACTCATAACTCTCTGTCTGACAAACCCAGACCATGGTTTTGTCCAATGGAATTCGGCCTTGTTATCCGAGACTGACGTAACCAGTCCGTGTTTTGCCCTCATAGGCGAACAACGCCCCAGCACATATGCAGTTAAGAGCACCGATCACTTCGAAAGCAAATCCCCAGTTAAGGTCCTCTTCCTGACTATGCCTCGCCCAAAATATTATGAGTCCAATAATTGTGGATAGTCCTGAAAAAAGCGACAAAAGACATGTCATTTATCATAAGAATAATAGTCCATTGTACGATTCCGATTATGTCATGAACATGTGTTTATGAAACACTATCAAATAGTGAAGACAGCAGGTGTTCGCGAAAAGATCAGCAAAAGAACAAATGGATAGTTTTAACTTGTATAGTGTTTGTTTGTATTGGGTATCACGCCGCACTCTATCTCTCTCTCTCTCCTCCTACTCTCCTCTCTCTCAATCTCCCCCCCCTCCCTCTCTCTATCGCTCCTCTCTTTCCCCCTCTCTCCCCTCTCTTTTTTAGGCTCTCTCCCTCCCCTCTCTCGCCCCTCTCTCTGTCTCCCCCTCTCGCTCTCCTCTCTCTCGCAATCGCGATGAACGGTATTTCTGCTACATCCCGGCAAACTCCGAATCCGGACAACCAACAATAATATTTATCTTCGAAATGTTTCCCACCTGACGTGAAGCTAGTTGCCGCACAGGAGAAGGCTGCTCTCTTTGTCCCTCGGTACATGTACCACCCCACGCAGAACAGGGCGACCACCTCGAATACCAGACCCACCGTCTCCAGTGCCTGCACTGCACGGAACCAGTCTGCAAGGACAGTGTCAAGGTTGCGTTAACGTCTTAAAAAATTAACGTATAAATTTCAACTTTCTTTTTCTTCAATGCGGCGATTAGGAAAGAGGTCTGGTATCTCATTTGCTTGATAGATGTCGCATGGATTGAATAAAGGGTGGGTAAGTTGGGTTTAACGCCGCTTTTAACAGTATTCCAGTTATATCACGGCGTGTCAGCTTAATGTGGGAGGAAGGCCCGAAGTGATGCAGGTCTTAGACGTTTACCACTTCGGTGAAACCCACGAGCAGGGGTATGGTACTCAGAAACATAATCGGGGCGAACCGGGATTCGAACAAACAATCATAGGTTTCTGGCGCAACTCTGCACAGTGAATCGCTGCGTCTTACATTACTGGGCCACCCGTGCCCCCGAATGAATAAAGAAGTTGAAAACCATCTCAACTCTGTATTCATTGATACTACAGCTTCTAAAATTCCACTTAAAGATATTGAAAGTTATTGTCTTTTCAAAATGCATCTGTGACAAAGGGAGATAATTCCATTTTCAAAGATACGCCTTTTTCAAGAGACACTTTATAGGATTGTTACGCAAGATTGGGGTGGTCCCGTTGGATCAGTCGGTGAGATGAAATGCTGGAAAACACTTGTAAAAGTAAGGACTGGTTTGTTTGTTTGTTTGTTATTTAAAGTCGCACTTAGCAATATTCCAGCTATATGACGACGGTCTGTATATAATCGAGTCAGAACCAGACAACCCAGTGATTGACATCATGAGCATCGATCCACACAATTGGGATACCATGACATGCATCAACCAAGTCAGCGAGCCTGACCACCCGATCCCGTTAGTCGCCTCTTACCACAAGCATAGTCGGCTTTTACGGCGAGCATGGGTTGCTGAAGATCCGGATCTTCACGGGTCCCATGAGCATCGATCTACATAATTGGGATACGGCTACATGCATCAACCAAGTCAGGACAAGCATGGGTTGCTGAAGATCAATTCTAACCCAGATCTTCACGGATTCACAAAAGCCGAACAAACTTCGTAATGCAAGCAATGCGATCATCTACACGTTATGCGATAGCCTGGTGGCTAAGGTGTTCGATCGTCACGTCGAAGGCCCGAGATCGATTCCCACATTGGTATATATGATAAGTCCATTTCTTGTGTCCCGCGCCTTGACACAGGTGGGATGTAACTTGCGCCGTATATTGAACTACATATTTACATTGTACAGAAAAGTACCACTTCTTTAATATGTTGTAATGTCACCTAATAGTATTCGAGGTATAAAGACAACCTCAGTGGTGAGAACCAGTGTCAGTTTTTTGCGAATCCTGTATTAAGTTGCCGTCATTATAACAACGAATGCGACTTATATTTTGCGGTGAGTGAAAATCTTACCTGATTGACCAGAAATGTATACACATCCCATAATTTCTTGTCCACAGACTTTCCATAATCCTGAATTCACTGGCCCCACAGCTGTTTCCCATTTAACCCATTCAGGGACGCTGAACCCAGTTATGTGAAATACAATTCCGATGCCCAAAACAATCAGACCAAGCTTCGAATACAGCGACCCGGATATACTTTGTGACAACGCCATCTTGTGCATCCGGTTCACACCAACCCTCGGAACGTGCATAAAATCACTTCCGTGTTATAGCCATGCGCGCGGTCACGTCACTTCCGGTAAGTTTAGCTTCAATTCAGTTGTTGCATGTACATGTATGTAGCGCTCAAAAAGGATATTTATGAATTGAATAATGTTAAAACAATGTCCTTGTTGCTTCAAACATCCTTTGACGAATGTTCCGTGGTGTAGTTTGTGATGACGAGGTACATGTTTCGCGCAGGTGTAGATACTCTACGATCTTATGTACGTGTAATAGCGAAGTCCCGTTACTGTGCCACCTTGAAGACAAGAAACATCATCGTTATTTCCATTTAATACCAGTTCAAATTATACAAATTATTTATAAAGTGTAAAAGAAAGCGAGACCACAGACGTGATAATGCACATCCTGAGAATACTGTATCAGTGATGATAACCCTACTTTATATTTAATGCCTCCACAATCAACTTGACTTTAATAGTTAAATTCGTCATAAACAGTCATGTTTCCTAGAATTCACTCATAGAAACCTACTGCGCCGTTGTAGTTGTACATCAGCACGGTGTGCTTTGAAACTTTATTAAATTAAGTTGTAGGTATTTAGCGTCGGGGCAGGAATGGCCTAGTCGTCAAAGGCGAGCCAGAAACCTATGATCGTGGGTTCGAATCCCAGATACGCCCTGAGGTTGTCAGCATTAAAACCGTATTCGTTGGTTTCATTAACGTGGTAAACATCTAACACCTTCATCACCTCGGCTTTCCTTCCACACGCCGTGATATAACTGAAATATTGTTCAAAGCGGCGTTAGTCCGCGTTAGTTCGCGCAGCATCACGTGAGAAAATACACCACCTACCAGTGTCTTGTCTTGTCCTGACCACGATGGAGAAGGCGAACTAGGTAGTGTACATCTAGCCAACACACACTTGTTTGAGGTAATAGGTCAGATGATTTGGTGTCATATGAAACTGATATAGATATCATATGACAGACGGAGGTCGCTATTCAAGGCCACCGCCCTGCGTTTACTGGTGTACTAGCCTGTTTCCTATCTACAATACTGGGATGTGTGTTATCTGCCGGTTATATATGACGCTTCACTACCGAAAATAAATAAGCCTGAACAACGAGGCTTTGTTCCGTTATTAACATTCCAGTGTATACTCGTGAGTGTATAGTGATACATGTATGAAGGGATTATGACGTCATACACACCAGTGTGTACACAAAGGGACGTCACTACTATCGATAATTACGTTTCCTACATGGTTGCTAACAAGCAACGTTTTTATTCACTTTTATCATGATTTAATATACTTTGTAAACAGTAATGATCACTGATCAGTGACGAATTTCTTTATCATGTAACCAAGTTTAATGTAGATCGATCATATTTAAAGGATGCGTGTGTTTTATTTATGTGTGACTTTCGTGGGGACCTACGGTGTGATCGATAACGGGAAACAATAGGTTCCTACAAACCCGTGTTTGTGACATGCCGACGAGAATGAGAAGGTTGTGAATGTGTGAGTGCGTGCGTGAGTGAGTGAGTGAGTGAGTGAGGTTTTACGCCGCTTTCAGCATATTCCAACATTGCCACCGCGGGGGATGGTCTTTGTGTCTGGTCACGCCCCGTGTTGCTAATGCTGTCAAACACTATTTTACCTGACCTAGGCTCTAATATTTACAAGCCGTCGAGACAGAACACTCACTCAATCCCAGTGCGGTTACCTGAGGTACAGTCATATGACAGGAAGTTTAACGTCGCGTTCAATATTATAGCACTGATATATCAACGTGTGTGTGTGTGTGTGTGTGCGTGCGTGTGTATGTGCGTGTGTGTTTGTGTGAGTGTTTTCTTGTGTGTGTGTCTCTGTCTGTTTTATAGTGCTAGCCATCTAAGATACCATGCCACAGTTTAACGTGGATACCCCCCTCGGACACATTATACGTACTCCGAGGCGACCAGTCATTGTTGTATTCCCTTAACGCCAAGCATGAAAAGTATTGTGTTATGACCAGGACGGGGATCGATCCACCGACAATCCGCTCTCAGGATTTCCAGGAACATCAGCAGAGTACCTGTCACTAACTGGCTGCGATAATTCCCACGTAACGTAACCTTCGTATAAACCTATAGCTATAGCGCCTACAATCGAGAGCCGTGGGCAAACATTCCAAGGTCAAAGAACATGCCAAATTGGTGAATAGGTTTTACAATGGCCATTGTAATCTTCGACACAGGTTTACAACGGCCACAGTAAAGAGTTCGTATGATTACTGAAAGCGTTTTGTCATGTTTATTCACTTCAAAGCATTTTGTCACGTTTATTCACATCAAAGTATTTTGTCACGTTTATTCACATCAAAGCATTTTGTCGTTTGCGTGTCATCACGACACGGCATCGGGGCGGTTTGGTAGCCTTGTGGTCAAAACTATCGCTCGTCACGCCGAAGGCCCATGTTCGATTCCCCACATGAGTACAATGTGTGATGCCCATATATGGTGTCTCCAGCCGTGATATTGCTGGAATATTGCTAAAAGCGGCGTAAAACCATACTCACTCACTCACGACACTTCATCACAAATCTTGATAGAAATTTCGGATGATTATTGAACGGGTTGTTTGTTGCTCTTATCAGATATTCTTTTTTATTTAAAACTATGAGCCTGAATGTTTTTTTAAAGAAAAACACATTGTAGCAATGAACTTTTGGTGGAAGGCAATATCTTCTTTTTTCAACAGTCTGAAGCATAATTTGTGACGTCATCAACAATGAAGCAGTTAACGTCATAACGCTTCAACGTTGACACTCGCTACAATCAGAGACCATATATAGAGGATATTATAGGAGTGTTCATTTCATACTGTTTACAACACGAGACCGCCTCCGTGGTCTAGTGGTAGAGCGTCCGCCCGGAGAGCGGAAGGTTCGTTGTTCGATCCCCGGCCGCGTCATACCAAAAGACGTTAAAAGATGGTACTTGTTGTTACCCTGTCTGGCGCTCGGCATTAAGGTGCTAAAACAAGGACTGGTCGGCTCGGAGTCAGCATACAGTGTCTGAGTGGGGTATTCACGTTAAACTGCGGCATGGTATCGCAGTGAGCTAGCACTATAAATCGGCATTAGTCCGGACTAGTACAAGCAGCCACACAAACACGTACATGCACGTCGCTATATAAGTGCAATAATCTTGGACGCGACGTTAAGCCCCATTTCACCTCACCTCACCTGTTCACAACAGGAGTGATTTTAGGCACGAGTGTCGTGAACATAGTTTGACATGAACACGAATATAATGTTCTATTTATTACCGCTGTAACTTCCTTTCGTTACCAGTACTACACTGCTACTAAGGTACATTATATTTTCAGTCATATATATGTCCAACTAGTATATTCCCTGTGGATATTTCAGTTACAATTATCATTGGTCCCCTAACCTTATTCTTAAGAGCTATCACTGAAATGGATCAAGCGGTCAGGTTCGGTGACTTCGTTGATGGCGTTTCATTGTGTCAAGATGTTGTGGATCGATTGTCAAGTTTTTGGATGATATTGATGGCATTTACATGAATGTGACCATGACGTTCCTGAAAGGCAATGCAACTTATTACAGTATCTCCTTCTGTCGTTATTTCGAAATACGAGTTGTAAATTGCCGGGCAAACGAAGTATACACTTGTAAATTGGATTTGATCAAATACAGTAAACTACGTTTATAACGAACACGCTTAAAACGAACTGACGGATATAACGAACCTACTTTTTTGTCCCGACTATTTGCTGTCGTTATGCTGTATATATGCTTATAACGAACTACGGTTATAACGAACGAAAATTAGTGGTCCGTTATAAGCGTGTTCGTTATAAACGTAGTTTACTGTATTTGATCAAAACGTTATCCACAAACGTGATCAAAACATTACTAGGCTGAAAGCAGTCGTCGAAACACTGCAAACTTAAGGTTCAAACACAGCCATGGTACCCGTATCAAATAGATCACCGTCGAATAACGACTACTTGCTTGTTTCATTTTTAGCCACCATCAAGCACGGTGTAAGTTTTCTTTTGCCTGGCAGTTTAGTTTGTATAGATACCGGTGTATAGTCATGTGTGCGAGTGAGTGTGATTGGTTTTACGCCGCTTTATAGTCAAGCAATATCACGGCGGGGGACACCAGAAATGGGCTTCACACATTGTACCCATGTGGGGAATCGCACCCGGGTCTTCGGAGTGATGAACGAACGCTTTAACCACTAGGCTACCCCAACGCCCCTCATGCATGCACACGTTGGGTTGAGTTCCACTCCACACAAGACAGCCATTACAACGTGCAATGCTAATGATTTTATTCACCATGCTCGCCATACAGTGGACTAACATCTAATCTCTGAAATGACCATATCTCACAGTATACTGCAGTAACCTAGACTTGCCCACTATTATAACCTTGCATGGGCTTTATTGGATATATTTGTTTCAGGGTCCATATGACAGACTTGTCATTCAGGCGAGGCAGGGTATTCTGTAAAGAGAAGAAAACATGTGCAAGTCGAGTACTGGTTATGCAATAGTCACAGTCACATTATTGCCTTAAACATAGAACTACATAGAACGACGTTCTAAGCGGCAAATGGATCATCATGTCATTACCATGGCAATTACATTTGGTCACGTGTTCTTCTAATGTTCTGATAAAATGAAAGTGTAGCTAATATATATTTACTCTTCAAAAAAAGAAACGCACAGGTAGTGTGTAGTTAAGTGAACTACACAAAAAATCCGGTATATAAATTGGATTTATGTTACTGGAAAATTGTGGCCTGTTATTCGACAAACGGTGCGTCAAAATGCAGCCATTGTCGATTTGCAATGACTTAAACGGCAATGTTTTCACACTTGTTAAAAAATGTCATGGAGAAAAACTGTAAAGATGTACCCGAGCTTAGAAAACAGGGAGGAGTGTTGTGTGAGGCGACCCAAAGTGCCAGCACAGGCAACAGCATCTCGGATTCAAGACGACCGAACAAGACAGCAAGAACATATAATTTCTGTCATTGACAAATATCAGGCCACACATGATGTTCAAACAATTCCACAGCCAAGAAGGGTCGAAAACCAACCAGGAAGAAATATACATCCTGGGCAATTTCTCAGTGACCGAGAGTATGGGGCAGGGGATGTCAGACGACACACAGAGATTGTTACAGAGCCTGGTCGCCCAAGTAACAGAGAACCGGACATTTGCATAGATCCAGTGCTTGATTATGTTGATGATGAGGAATACAGGTTTCCTAACCGAGGAAGGGCCAGACAGCATCAACCAAGGCAGAGCTATGCAAGTCAGGACCGACACAGCCCGGCAATCAAGGTACCTAGGGCCCTGGTCTTTGATGGAAAGAGTCGTTGGTCAGCCTTCTATTTAAAGTTTAGGACTTATACCAAACGGGAGAACTGGAATTCTGAGGAGCCAGGGACCAGTTATGCTTCTGCATGAAGGACGAAGCGAGTGAATACTTTGCTTCGTGCATTGAGCGAGATCCCGACATCCCATTTGAGGATCTCATTAAAAAGTTTCAACGGTGGTATGATCGCCAAGAACTTCCAGAAACAGCGCAGGTAAAATTCAATACCATGCGCCAACAACCAGATGAGTCACTCGCGAAATGGTCTGAACGGCTCATGTCAACAGCAACAATTGCATTTGACAGATTGCCAGAAGACTATGTTGAGCGACAAGTCATCATGATGTTCTGTCTTGGATGTGAGCAGAAGGAGGCAGGTCAGTATGCAGCCAACCTACATCCCTATTCGCTAGAGAAAGCAATGGATGCTGTGCGCACATTCCAGCACACCCATCAGGCCATCTAGAAGGACACCCGGGTTTACTCTTGGGGGTCAGGGAAGTGGTACAGCCACGATACACAACTCCCCATCAAGTACCTGTGTCCATTCATGGGTATTTTGCATCTTAATTATCCAATGCTAATTGTGGGGTACAAACCCTCAACACCTCGCATGATTGAATGTGTGGAGTAGGGCTGCAAGGATTTAGAAACTA